GCCCACGTTCTTTCCAGTACGTCCTTCTTCTGAGGACAGTTCTCTTACACTTTTTAGTGTAGAAACACTTGAGGTCTCCTAAATGGACAAGGCATAGCCGTCATGGCCGTACATGGTGACACACGCACATCCCCGTCCTCTGTCCCTCCCCCATGAGACAGCCTTGGATAACCTTGCTCTGTAAAGGCCCTCAGCAGTGTGTGAGACTTAGCTTTCACATTCATTGCTCGTGGTCTTTCCCAGAAGGAAGAATCACACGTTTGTCCTGCGGGTCCCCAGGGAGAATGCTTCAGCCTCAGTCCAGTCCAGACTGACCGCTGCCGGTGAGCAAGGTGCGCCTCTGACCCTGCCTGTGTCCAGATCCGCAGATGCGGAGCACTGTTGCCCAGTGTCTGCCTCCATCTCCCAAACCTGAAGGAATCAAGTTACCTTCAAATGTAGTCTAAACGTATAGTTTCTTACATGTCGCGCGTTTTAAAGGAAGCTGTTTCTCCCATGATGCAGCACACAAGAACCCCCTCCGTTAATCCTTATCGCATCCAAGAGGCCGTAGGAGCTGGGAAGGACACTCCAGCACCCTGAGGAGCGGGCCAGGAGGCGGAGAATCCTTTCCTCGTCTGCGCTCCAGAGATCGTATTAAAGTGGACTGTGTGGTAGTGAGGTCTTGATGCTGGAAAGCTGATGAGGGGAAAAGCTCGTTTTGAGTGAATTACGTTTGCTAGGAGCCCTGGGATGTTCTGACTGGGCCTCAGAGGGGAAAGGAAAGACAGGAAAGCGCCCTGGCTGTGGAGTTTGTGCCCGGGCTTCTTTCCTTTAGGGCTGTGCCGGAGCCCTTGGACTCTGAGTGGTTCGGGGTTTTGAACCTGCTTTACATTTAGTGCAGAAAAGCGAGTGGACAGAGTGACTCATTTTCATTTTACTGGGCTTTTCAACCTTTCTAGGACTATAGCAGCTTTATAACTTTACTCTGCTTTGAAAAACCCTCTATTTTTGAATAAAGGATGTCCTTCTGAGGGCAGAAGGAAAGGCTTATTGTTTTAAAAGGGCTGCTTCCTGGGTAGAGCAACATGTTCCTATTTATGCTCAAATCTAGAGATGCTTTTTGGGGAAAATAGCTTACATGTTTAAAAGTCCCTTAAAATAGTAGTAATTGTGTGAATTTTATTTGTCATGGGAAGTACAGTTGGGGAAGTTAGAAATTTCTCAGTTTGCATGTCAGAGTTTTGTGACAAAAAGCAGAAATTGAAACACCATAGGGGATTTAACTCTAGGTTTTGTTTTCTGTAGTCAGATTTGTTGGATTGTAACTCCTTTCTATGCACAGATGTCTTCTCTGTGGAGGACAGGCATCAGAACCCAGAGATTAACCCCAGGCCTGTGTCTGTTGTGCGGCTGAGGGAAGCCCTTGCTCTGGTCTGCTCTGGGTGCGCAGCCCTGGCCCCAGTGCCCTCGAAGGCCCCAGGCTGGTGCACGGAGTGCAGCTCACTGGCACCTCACTGCTTGCTTCCTCTCTGTCCTTGCTGGTGCAGGCAGCCCACGCCAGCCAGCAGCTTGTGTGTCCTGAGAGAGGAGAGGAGGAGATGCAGTGGGGAGGACCCTTGGGCAGGCAGGGTAAGGTGCATGGCGGGGCTGTCAGGCTCGGATTGTCTGTGCACTGCCGAGGCCACTGTCCTGCCGGAGTCTCCGACTACCCAGAAGTCTGCCGTGGGGTGGGCGCCGACAGGCAGCTCCCACAGAAGGCTCCAGCCCTCACCACTCTTGCCCACGTCTGCCTGTAGCTTCTTGTCGTGGAGTTTGAGACTGGGTTAGTACCCCGGGACAGCATAGACCGGACAGTGGCGAGAGTCAGAGGGCAGGAGTTGCTTTCTTCAGAATTCTCCCCAGCTGTCTTCCTCCTCTTGTGCCTCAGTGCCGACCTCCTCACTGGCAGTCCCTAGTCACTGGTGAACTAATGTTGGCTGCTGGGCTCTTCATTGAAGAAAAGCTTGAGCATTCCTCCTCCGGTTAGTTTTCCTGTGCTGCTCTGCTCATCTGTAGTCAGGTCCTGTCATCCCTTGAGATCGGAGGACAGAGACCCTTCGGTAGCCCCTTTCCTGCACACCGAGTCTGTGCTGCTCACGTTCCCAAGGCTGAGGGAGGTCTTGTTGGTCCCCTCCCTGCCACCTTGCACTCGGTCTTTACTTGTGGTAAAGAAACTTCTGTAAAGAAACCTTCCGTAAAGAAATCAGGTTTAGGTGGAATATCTGTGACGGCAGCTAGTTGAAGCCCAGATAGCCGCGCGTTCCATTTAGTAGAATAGTACCTCAGGTAGTCTCCTGGTTTGTACGCTTCTCTTCTCGGGCAGCGGCCTTCTCCAAGTAGCAGGAGAAACCTCATGGTTGAGTTCATTTAGGCAGTTCGCAGTCTCATTAAGCTGTCACCCAGGACTCTCTGGGCGTGTCTTGCTTTGAGTGGCATATATTTAAAAGTGCTCCCCCCAAATAATTGTGAACATGTGCGGTGTGAATGTTTTACTTATGCAGCTTTACTGTGCAGGCAGAAGTAAACATTGCTTTTCAAACAGCCTTCCTTTCCCTGCTTGCTCCCGTAGCTTATGGTGCAAGCTTGGAAACAGCTCCTGATGCCTTCACTTACAGTGAATTGTATTGCATTGTTCTTTGCATTTTATTAACTGACCAACATTGTTATTTCACAAGCTACAGTGATAATATGGTCTTTTCTGTGTGTGTGCATGTGTGTATGTGTGCACAGGGTACTGGGTATGAACTTTCATAGTGAGCTACATCCCAGTTTTTTATTTTTTGAGACAAGGTTGCCCAGTCTGGGCTTAAACTTGGAGCCCTCTTGCCTCAGCCTCCCAGAGCGCTGGGATTGCAGGTGTATTCCGGTACACCTGTGGTAGCAAACGCTGGTAGTCATCATTCATAGGTAGACTATCCAGACGCGTTACACTTAGTACCCAAACTGCCAAGTCTGCAGACGTGGTACCAACACCCACACACAGTGCCTATGCCACGGCTTGTTCTGGACTAGGGCGCTTACGTAACTGGGACACTCTGCAGAGTTAAAAACCAGCAGGTTAATACATTGCCATTTGACCGAGGAAACAGTCTTTTTACTTGGCTTGTTGGAGGAGACAATTTCCTATTTCAAGGCCTATCATTTGACTTTAAAGTAGTTATTTCTTTGATTTTTTTAAAGTTCCAAATTATTGCTAATAATCATGCTTTAGATTTCTTCCTGTTTTCAAGAAATAGCTTTTAAAAATACTATTTCTCTCTAATGCTTTTCCAAATATACTTTTTGGTTAGTGTAAATTTATTTGCTTGATGAATGTAAATAGTCCTATCTGTTTATCTTGATAAAAACAGTGTAGGCCTTGGGCAGATTTTAACAGGTTCACAGATAATTGAGTATTGAGATTTTAGTATTAGAATCAGAATATAAGCTCTTCCTGTACTCTTTAATGACTGGAAATAACAGATTCATGATGTTTAGACTAAAACAGAAACTTTTGGATTTTCCAGAAATATTTTTAAGTATTAAAAAGACTTCTCATTCATTAGGGCCTTTTCGTTGGCTTTGCCTAAATGCAGAAAGCACACTGTGCTGGGAGCCTGCTTGCTCCCAAGGAGAGGCTTGCTAGTTGGTGTGCGCTTTGCTCACTGGGCAGCGGGGCAGGATTTGTTCCAGCCTCCATATTTGTACTGAATTAGTAGCACCTGTTTTTACCTTTCAGTCCTTCACCTTTCAGAGAGTTACTGGAAATAACAGAGGTTGCAGATGTATGAAACGAAAGGCCATTGGGGTTTTTTAACAATCACGCTCGCAGTGACATTTTTAATTTCTAATGCTGGTAAATTTTATGTAGGAGAGATTTAAAATTGTGCATCAGGCCTTTTCCTTAGCATATCATAATATTGTTCTAAAACTATAATAAAAAGTTTAGACTGCAAATCAGTATCTTCTTTAAAAAATGTTAATTCCTTATCTAGTTCCATGAATTATTATCATCCATACCTTTAATATTGAAATATCTTTTTCCTATATAAAAGAATTAAATTGAACCCAGGAAGTGTGACTTGTGTGCGGAAAAGTACAGAACATTGTTTAAGAAAATGAAAGAAGTCTTGGATAAGTGGAGTATGAGTGTGTGTTTTGGGGTGATGAAAGTGCTGTAAAATTAGTGGTGATTGTACTAAAGAGACTAATGGTTTGTTTACTTTAAAAGGATAAATTCTATGGAATGTAAATTATTGCTTCAAGCTGTTACTAATAAAAGGGGAAGATTTATTTTACAAATTTAAAAAATACTTTTAGATTCTGACTAAGATTTGGGGAGGTGTAATATCCTTTTAAATCTTGTTATCACAAGCTGTAATCGTAGGTATTGGAGTCTTTACTGATTTCTTGTTGGCTTATCATATACACAGGACTTTGCAGTTTTAGCAATATCAACTTTCATGAATAACTTTGAATCTTTTTTCTATGAATTTCGGTATGATCTAGAAGAACAAGACATTTGCTTCCTTTTTTTAAGAGAAAATATTTAAACTTAACTCTTCTTAATGTATGAAATTTCATTTTGGTAAGACAAAAAAATTGAATTTATACTCAAGAATTTTTAGGTATAGTCATGAAATAACATGCATTAATTTTACATTAAGAAAATAATTAGATTAATCATGGTATTGGCAAATATCTATGTTTTGAAATTAAAACACATTTGCTATTTTGATATAAGTGGCAGAAAATAGATCAGAAAGAATAACTTATGAAGAATTTACTTTCATAAGTTTGTCCATGTGTTATTTCAAAAAGTTTTGTGCTTATCCCAAGGCAGTTGTACTCTGTAGATGTCAGCTTGTCTTGCAATATTTACTTTTAATGTCTGAGAAAATGTGTTTTAAAAAAGCTACTCATAGTATAACTTGTAATTTACTCTAGAAATCGTTTTCCCCTCACAGATCTAGTAATTTCTGTTCTTTTCTTTGGCACAGGACCTGGAGATAGTGTACTCCCATTTACATGGCATGGAAGCTTTGTCCAGCTTGAGAGAGCATCAGCTCAGGTACGTCATCTTAATGGAGCAGCAGAATGCTGAGCTTCATGCATTCATGTGTCAGTGCATAGCTTAAAGAAAACTTACCCACGAAACTGCTGCTTCTAACTCTTTATAAGTTGTAAAAAGTTGAATTCAGTTGTTTTCGTGTTTCTTTTCACATTTCTGTTATAGTAATATCTTTGACCTTTCTTCAGGGTCTTTTCCCCCTTGACTGAAAGTCATAAATTCTGTTTCAGTGAGCACACCCAAAGGGTATCACTTATCTTCCTGGCAAATAAAGACACACTGCTTGGTGCTGAGACCCACTGGAAGAAACCAGAAGCATTGTCCCTACCAGGCAGTGACTCGGTTGGCTGTTGTAGTGGGGAGACTTTACCACTGCCCTGAGTAGTCCCCGCCTCTCTCCGGGAAACAGTTTGTCCTGACCTCGCTTCAGTGGGGGCCATTCCTGTAAAATTTTCATCACTTATCTGTGCTAATAAGGAATAGAAGTGATTTTGCCTTACTTGTGTGTAATACAAAATAAAGGACTCTGGAAGGTGGGTTACAGATTAGCACCAGCTGGGCAGAATGGGAAGGCCTTGTTTCCTCCAGCTGTGGCCAGTTGTGCCAGCACTTCTAATTGTGAGAGGAATGTTTCTCCTATACTGTGTACTTCTCCTTTACTCTTTAAACACTAATTAATTTTTGAGCACATCAGTTTCATATCTTGTTGTTAATTGAAAAACGTGTCAGGAGGATTGAGTGTTTCTAAAGTTAAATTTTTAATGAAAATCATTTAAATTAAAGTAGATTGCAGATTAAATGTTTAAAAATTCAGTCAAGTTTTATTAGAAGGGGCAAAACCATTGGGAGTTTAGAAGATGGCTCAAATTAAAACAAGAGTCAGTTCTTCATTTGATATTTTATGCTGACAAGTTTTCTAAGATTTTGTATAATTGTTTATTTAATTAAATGCAGTTAGCCTTCAAATGGAAAGTAATTAGTTAAAATGCAAATGCGCGGGCCAGGGGATTTAGCTCAGTGTCTGGTTCTGCTGCCTCGAAATCAAGCACAAGGACCTGAGTTCCATCCCCGGTACCGCCCCCCCCCCATGCAAACGCAAACACAGAGGTCAGATCCCATTGAGCATGTGCAGGAAACCACACACACGGATAATTGAGATGTACTGGTTGTATGGGTTTTCTTTTTTTCTTTTTGGTACTGGGGATCGAACTCCAGACCTTGCCCTTGCAAGGCAGGTGCTGGAACCACTGAGCTAAATCCCTGGCCCATGGTTGTATGTTTAATATGTGTGGCTGTACGATTTAGATGATAGGAATTCTATGCCATAAAGGAAGGGTCTTTTAATACTTTTAAAATACTTTTTCCAAATTTCTAAATTACAAAAGTAGAAAAAGGAAATACAGTGAAGTTCCATACACCGTCATCCACCTTCAGAATTAAGAACTTTTTTGCCATCTCAAAGGTAATTTTTGTTTAGAAATAACCAATTAATCCAAGGGCGTGGTATAATCTATTTAAATCTTAGCCTGTTTCTGAGTTTGACACATTGGTTTATTGGCATGGATTAATAGGGAGGGGTCTTTACAATGTTTATCTCATTCAGCAGGTGTTGAAAAGTCATATTTATGGACAGTGTCCAGCTTATACTTAGTTGGTTTTCTAAGAACAAGATGAGGATATCAAATGAATTATGACAAAAATCGAGGTACACATCAATCTAGTGACTTGAATAAGCTGCTTTACAATGTGTACTCTCATTTCTGGGAAAAATAGATATATCCCCTTTAGATAAATTCTCTTGTTTGAATTTTATGAGTAAACGTTTCCCAGAATTAGTAGAGAACCGTCAGTTAAGACTGTCATGTAGTAGTTTTCCAGTTTCAGAAAATAAAATGCTCTTAATCGAGATGTTAGACCGGGCTGTGGGTATCGGGTGTCGGGTGTCGGGCAGTGGACCCTCCGTGTCCCCGCCCCACAGAGGCCCTGTGGGCGCCCGGCCCTGGCTTGGGTGCCGGGCAGTGCCTGGCCAAGCTCCTCTTCTCACCGGGGTCGCGGTGCTGGGGAGGAGCACACACGGCTCTGCAACCTGGAGGCTGTCTTTTAAGAACCAGGTGCTTTTCAACACCATTTGAACCACTCTTTAAGTGTTCGTGCCCTTAGTCCACAGACACTGGGAGCAAACAGGAAAAGGGCTGCAATGAGAAGCAGAGGCCAGCGGCGGTTAGAGCAGAATAGCTGCTTGCTATTTAGTGTGTGTTGTTGTTTTTTGCAGGGAATTGAACTCAGGGCCTTTTATATTCTAGGCGAGCTCTCTGCCACTGAGCTACGTACTTGTACTCGATAGGCCCTATTTTGCGTTGGTACAAGAGCCTGCTTAAAATACAGAGTTTGTTCATCCTTACAGATGAGTGTCTTTAATTTATAGGCTCCTTTAGATTATTTTAGAAATTCAGGGGAGATTCATATCCTTTTGCTAAAACATTTGCTGCTAAAAATGTTTAAAGACAGAATCTTTTTGGTCCTCTTTTATTTAGGACATTGTCAGAGGAGACAGTTTGCCACGCCGTTTTGGTAGCATTGGTTACATTTATTTCTCCTGTAAGCATTAATTGAGTGCATGCTTACCGAGTGCTAGATGCCAACGGAGCCTAGGGACGTCACTGACTTGGGTCAGACCATGCCATTCCTGCACCTACGCGCTGGAGGGACAGAAGTGATCAGACATTAGTGGGCTGGGTCGTTAAGAGTGGGTTCTGGGCTGCTCTGACCTGGGAGTCCACGTTGGTGACGTTTGAGATGGAGCAGCCATGCGGAGATTTGTGGGGCCCTTTGAGAAGAGGGAAGGTGTGGTGCGGGCGTGAGCATAGCATAGCCAGTGTAGCAAGTCGGGCAGGCCCTGTCTTCAGGCCTAGAGGAGTTTGGATTCTCTCTTCCAGGTCGTGGTGGGTATAGGCAGAGGTGTGAGGTGTGGTCTCCCAGGTTTGGAAAGATCGCTCTGGAAGGCGCCCTCGGAAGTGGATGCATCCATCCGTACCTGTGGCCCTGTAAGAGACAGTGACCACGTAAGCGTGGCTCGCATGAGGTTTTAGCAGAGCAGGTTGTCTTAGATGTTTTCTCATTGCTGGGACAAAATACCCAATGCTCACAAGTTGAGGGAATAGAGGTTTAATTTGGCTCACGGTTTGTAGAGAGGTTTTAGTGCACAGTTGGCTGACTAAGGCCTGGTGGCCTGGCAGAGGACAAGCAGCTCACGGTACAGCCGTCAAGGCCAGGGTTACCTATACCCTTCCAGGCCACACACAGCACCTGCCTCTTCCCGCCAGTGTCACATCCCGCTACACACCCATCAGTGGACTGGTCCAGGTCACACGGCCCAGTGTCACATACCCACTGTCCAGTGCCCCCATAGCCACACCATGGGTGCCTGAGGCTTGGGGGGAGCGCCTAGGTGTGAGCCACACCAGTGGTGGTTTGGTCAGTTCTGGAGGACGAGTCTTGGAAACAGGTGCTGGCAGAAAGATGGACGTGAAGAAAACAGGAGACAGATAGAATGATGACTCCAGGTTAGCCTGGACCCCTGGGTACCGATTTTGGGAAAGCAGTGTCAGGTGAGAAATTCACGTTCCATTTTGGACATTGGAAATGTGAGGTGGCTCGTTTAATTGGCCACATCTGGATCAGAGTTAGGTCTGGAGCGTTGCTTTGGAAGTCACCAGTCTCTGAATTGAGTCTGAGGAGGCGGGCGGCCCTGGAGAGAAGACGAAGGGTCCCTGGAGGACAGGGCGGGAGAATTGGCGTGACTGGGAGCTAAGAGGGGCCGGGAAGCCCGGACAGCTTCCTGGGAGGAAAAGGCAGGTGGCACAGGTGGGACTTAGATAATGAGCCTTCCTTCGGGCTCCTGAGGAAGTGGAGGTGGGGAGTATACACAGCTCTAAAAGGAGATTTTTCTGTGAGGAGGAGAACAAAGCGTGCATACTGACCGGAGGAGACTGGGTCTGGAGGGAGCATCCCCTCACCCCGTAGGGTGCTGCGTGCGTCTTTGTTAGTGACGGGACTGGGCAGAGAGGGAGGCCAGCTTGCAGGGGAAGGGGCCCGGAAGGCACAGGCGAAGAGAGCAAGCGGGCGGCGGCTCTCAGACTGGTCGCTGTGCTGTCCCCCTTTCCTGTTGAGAATTGGCTTCTGCCTCCTAGAGTTAGGGGCGTTTGGCGGGGTGTTTGGGAGAGGGATGAGGATGCGGACCCCGGAAGAGGTGAGGTATTCAGGAGCAGCCCTGTCTCCATGCTTGAGGGTGGCCCTGGTGCACCGCGAGGACAGAGGAGAGGCAGACGGGCCCAGGCTCGCCCAGCGAGCTGTTTCTCCAGGGCTTGCTGAGAGAGATGTGGTCCTGAGCACACAAGACGAGGCCTCCACGGTTTGGTCAGATGAGGGACACAAGTGACTTCGTCCAGGCTGGGATGTCCATGATTCATCTTCCTGATGTCGGGGTCAGGCGCCTCGCTGGCCCTGAGGGCCCGGGGTCTGGATCGTAGAGTTCCACGTACCGCTTCTGTAGCTCTGTCTGTTCACAGTGTGCGGGAACTGCAGGGAAAGCTGACCGGGCCCCTCGGGGGCTGTGGTCCTGTCAGCCTGGCGCCTGCAGCTAGGAGGGGAATTGGAAGAGCAGAGAAGAAGAAAGTGGGTTTGGCACACAGGAAAGACGGATGCGGACCGACCCCAGAGTGACACCGGCTGGAGGAGCGCCCCGCAGCGCGTGCGAGGTGGAAGAGCCGATGGAAGTCACTTCAGCCCGCTCTGTGTGTACTGGCCTTCGTGAGAGGCAGCGGTGATTCTTGATTTGCACTTTTTGAACATATAATTGTGACTGGTGCAATAGGATGCTTCTTGATGGTGCTGTTCTTGATATAATTCTGAATATTACTCATGGTTTCATAATTTCACAGTATTTTCCTTTGGGATGAGTCAGCTGCAATAACAAGTCCTAAGGCTTGCATTTAGTCGTTGGTCCTGAAAATACTGAGGTAGTAAAAGTGCTTTTGTCGGAGATTCCAATTGGTAGTAGCATTAACGTTGAGCTGAGAGTGACGTTATTGCTTTTTAAATTAATAGGCTTTTCTTTCCAGCTTTAGGGTTCCCTCTCATTCTCTTTTTACCTCAGGGAACATTAATTTGGCCACGTGCCATCCCCAGAGTATAAAATACCACTAAATAAGCATGGCAAAGCTGACATCTTTTAGATGTTTTGTTTCCTAGCATATTGTTTTATTTAATTTTGTTAACACTAAGTATGGATAATATATATCTTGAGGCTAATAAATGATTATAATGAGCCATTTAAATAATCTTAACTTTCAAGACTACATAACTTATTTAACTTTTAAAGTCTTGGGGTGTTTTTAGTAACATGTTGGACTCATCTCTTTCTCCTTTTTGCAGGTTAATGTGTGAAACTGTGAGATATGAAAGACACGAAGCAAATGAAGTTTTATACTAGTAGGTATTTCTTTTCTGTTTGTACAATGTATAATGCAGTGACTGAATTTCCTTAAAGTATAAAAGAAGCATTAGTAACAGCTGGCTAAGTCAGCATTACCTTGCTTTTGTGTTAACTTACTTTTTAGAAATGTGAAACATTTAGCTGTGTCCTGTTGTAAAATAAGAGTTCACAGTCCTTTCCTGATGAGTTCAGATTGCCTTTATCTGTAAGTGTGGGTTAGGGATTCCATTGCATACTAGGAGTCCTGGCCATTTTCATCATTGTGAAGTCTGAGCACTAAACAAGTATTCCCATGGCCACACTGGGTGAGGAGTGAAGGTAGCACATGCACGTGGCAGGTTTTAGTCTGTACTGCTCTCAGAGACAGGAAAAGAGCTGCCACATCTCTTTGGCATAGTTTCTTTTTAAAAATCGTACTGATATCCCTTCAAGATGTGTAACATATTTCATAAAAAATGACTGCTGAGTGTTTAAGAGTGTGGTAAACACATAGCAGGTGAATGGCATATTACAGACATTCGCCCTGTGAGCTACGGGCCATGCTATTTGTTTGGATCATGTTGGCGGTGACCGACTGTGTTCTGTGGACTTTGCTTCCTGTTTTTCGAAACACCCACTCCATGATGATCCCTTCCAGGCCTATGACAGAGAATATTTATTGAATAGATAAATACGTCTTCTGCCCCTGAGAGGGACGTAGAGATAGGAAAAAGGAGAATGACAACAAACTAGCAGACCGTGACACCTGGGAGCATAGGTTTGTACCTGGGGTTGGGAGGGACAGGGAAGGCAGACAAGGCACCTGGGAGCACTGTGCCTTCTGAGCCGGGTGTCAGGGACGTGTTTGTGGTAGAAGCAGCGTGGGCAGAGATGTGTGCAGTGCAGCTCTGTGCGACAGGCCTGCGTGGGTCACAGGCCACACTTGTGTGTACATATGTGTGTGTTGTTTAAAGAACGGTCTCAGTTATCCAGACAACCACCAGCGAGTTTCCCCTCCTAAGCGGCTGCTCAGTTCATTACGGGAAGTCATGAGACTCGTGACCTGTGGACGGTGGGCCCCGATACTCAGCACCTAACAGTTCAACTCATGCAAGCGATTGTGCTTCATCTTTCCGTCCCTCTCCCAGGTGCAAGAGGGTCATTTAGAACCAACCCAGATGCCATGTCCAGTCAGGTATCTTATAGAGAAACAGGGTCTTGCTAAATTTCTTGCTCATCCTTGGCTTGAACTTGAAATCCTCCTGCCTCAGCCTCTCAAGTAACTGGGGTTATAGGCATGTTCCACTGCAACCAGCTAGGAGCATTAAAAGCCTCAGTAACAGCTGTACAAGCATGGTGTGTGGAAGTCTGGGGTGAGCATTCCTGACATTTACTGACAGTCTAGAGGCAGTCAGCACTGACTGCTGTCATTTGTCCTCCTCTTGGAATGCGGGTTCCCAGTGTTGATGGCAGTGTGCTGGGGCAAACATTTACCGAGCACTGCTGTACCCAGCGTGTTCTGAAAAGTGCTGTGTCTACTTTCATCTGCAAACTTCCTCTTCAGATGTCTCCCGAGGTAGCTGGTAACTCTCACCCCAGTTTTACATGGGGAGAAACTGAGGCTGCCCCGGCCCCACTGACTGAAGTGGGAGCTGCGTTTGAGCCCAGATGTTGTGCTTGTGCCGCCTCGGCCCTGACCCCAGGCACTGGCATTGTGTGGCCTTATTCGTGCCACAGCACCGTAGAAAGTGGTGTTTGCGCCCGTGGTAAGTGCACAGCCCCTCCTTGCGCAAGGCCGCCTAAGGGCTGATGGTGGCCGCCACAGCTGCGGGCCTCTCTGCCCGCATTCTTGCGACTCCGAGGTGGTGCTGTGCACTGCTGTTCAGTACTACTCGAACTGAAGGTGGACGGCTGTCTGTCAACCCAGTTCTCTCTAGAGACGCAGTGGAGACAGCGCCTGTGAGCAGAGCTGGGGACAGAAGGCTCACCCACATCACCTAGTGGGGTGCCCTTGACCGTGGAGCCAGACTTGACTGTAGCGATCGCCTACCTCTTGCTAGGTCGAGTTAGGTCACAGCCCTGGTGAGCAGTGAAAAGCCTGTGGATCATCAGCAAAGCCTGATTTCAAAAGGCCAGAATTCACGGAGCCTAGTTGCAGATCGACACAATCAGATCCCTGGTGGTGGGCCAATCTTGTGATGAAGCGTGGTCGAGTTATTTTCTTGTGACCCTTGTGCAGACACGCTCTGCTCTTACCCATGTTTGTGGTGTGCAGAAGTGTGGGAAACGTAGCGAGCACAGCGCGCTCTCTGGGAGACCTTGTGGGGAGCGTTTTGTTTGTGCTTGTCCTCCGCTGAGCTTTGTTTGAAGAGCGGAGGACAGTGAGAATAGCACCGCCTTCAGACATGCGCTATCACCGAGGGACAGGCAGTCATTTTCCTTTTAGGTTTGGGTGCTGGTGACTTCTAGGTCAACACGGTGCTGTCATCTCCCTGGGCACCCCATTTTCTCGCCTATAAGATGGAAGCAGTCATGCACTTGCCCTTGGGGCCCGCGTGGGGATCAGGCGCAGTAGCAGGCAGACTGTCCTGGAGCAGCACACCCATAACTGCACACGTGATGTCATCAGATTGTTTTCATAATGTGCATTTTTGTCTGCCAGGGTTTTAAACAAAAAAATGGCAAAATTGCAAAAATGGTATATGTGCTTACATTTTTGTCCCGGTGTCATTGGCAGGATCACTTACTATGCTATGTTGCTTTAATTTATTGATTGAGCTTACTTTGGGCCATTAGCTGCACAGAAGTAAGCAATACAGATTATGGCTCTGAGCTTTTACATCTCAGAGCCCCATCAGAAGAGCAGAGCAGATACCCATGGTCATTACACCCTGCGGAGAGTGAGGCAGAAGTGAGACCGCGCGCCGGGGAGTGCCATCGCTGCGCATCGGAGGCGGCCGCTGTCAAGATGCCTGTTTCAGGCCGCGGCCACTTCGTTCACAGGAGGCCTCCGTGCGCCCAGCGGTGGGAGCGTGGCGCTCTGGGAGCCTGGGGGCTGAGGCGCGGATCCGACGGGGCTAGGCCCTGCTCACTGTGGCTTTGGCCTTGCTCTTAGGGGGCGCACGAGTCTGTCACCCGAGGCGAGCAGAAGCGAGGCCCTGGCCCTTGGCAAGGGCTTTGATGTGAGGACAGAGGGGCCGGAGAGACCCTGCTGTTGCCGTGGCTGGGTGCCGTTGCTGCGGTGGTGGGCTCGGGCAGGGACAGGGCCGGCTTCTGACCTCGGTGGCTGCTTGCTGGCCCTGGGACCCCGCTGGCCGTCTCCACATGGTCCACATGTCGGACCCTTTCGCTGGCTCCCTGTCTGACTTTTAAGCTCAGAGCCCGAGGTGGCGGGCGGCCCCGGCTGCTCTCGCCGACCCCAGCAGGCCGGTCCCTGGCTGTGCAGTGTGTGCTGGGTGGATCGCGAGAGCCTGCTCTCTCCGTGTCCGGGTGCTTTGCCCGCAGCCCCTCCTGCCCTGCCCTCTCCTGGCACAAGCCCTCGCCCTCCTGGCCAGCCCGCCTGGCTTTCACGGTGGCTCAGCAAACCTTCTGGCCCATTCATTCTGGACTGAGAGCTGAATTGAAGTAAGTCTTAAACGAGTTTCTTTCTCCTCGCAAATAATAGCTTTTGGTGATTTCTTCTGCAGCTTATTACTAGCTTTTATGTTTTGAACCCCTTTGTCCACGTCAACTCCCCCACTAGTTTTAGCTTCCTGCTTTCAGAGCAAGGTGGAGCAGCCCTGTGCTCTTTCGCGTGGAGACGCTGCCACCTGGTGGACGCCCAGGACATTGCCGAGGAAGTTCTTGGCCTGGCTTCGTGTTCCCAGTGGGTTCCAACTGGTGTCTGTGGCTTCCGACATTTTAATACGTTGTCTGACTCAGCAGCGTTCCTCAGCTCGTTCCCTAAGAAAGTATCTGAGTGCCAGTGCCCCGTTATGTGGTGTATACACAGTATACTTCGGAAGCTAATGGGGAAGAGCCGGAATAAACAGTTGGGACAGGCCGAGGGCCGCTGCTCAGGGGCGCGAGCGGAAGTGCTCCAGGGGCATGGAGGAGAGGACGCGTCAGGCTCCCAGAACTGGAGGAGGTGGTAGCTAACCGGCAACGCCAAGGGTGCCCAGGCAGTGCCCAGTAGAGGGCACTGTTCAGAGCAAGGACAGTAGGTTTGTCCTGGGCTCTGCAGCCTGCGTTGAAAGGAGGGTGGCACGGCCGAGGGGTGCACTCAGGATGGGAACGTCTGCAGGGAGTGAGGCTGCAGTTTGGCCCGTTCAGAGACCGAGTAGGAGGAAAAGGTTGAAGAGAGCTAGTGCTTCTTGTTTTTTAATTTTAGGTGCTGCCTGCAGTGATGCACACTGTCTCATTAAAGTCGAAGCCACGTTTTTAAAGAAGCTGTTGATAGGGTTCTTTACAGTTGGGAGACCAGAGCCTGAGATTTGGTGTCTTGAGGGTCAGCGCGCAGCAGGAAGGCTCCGCGGGCCTGGCCCACGTGGCTTCCCGCCCTGCCTGGCTTCCCGCCCTGCCGGTGCGGCGGGGCTTGGGTCTCTCCTGCTCACGGCCCTGGGGTGTACGTCGCAGCCAAGTCGATGACAGGTTCTGCTAGGCTTGAACAGCCGCCCTCGCTTGAGAGTTCAGTGTAGCTGCAGGAAGATGCCTCACATGCTAAGAAATCACGGAGGAAATAGACAGCAGCATGAAATGAGAAGGGGTAAGTGTTCCGGAAATGGTATGGTAGCGGTGACCGAGAAGGCTTCCTGAAGAAAAGCAGCCGACCATTGCTGGAGCACAGGGGCCTGGAGAGAGGGAGCGGCCACCTCGCAGGGCCGGCAGGGAGCGCCGGGAGGGGGAGCGCAGGCCAAGGGCACTGGCTGTGCCCAGGCGCGGTGGGGAAGTGTGGGGCCCCCTTGCAGGCGAATTTAGCATTCCAATCCACAGGCCTGCAAGCCACAGGGTGGGGGGCAGCCGCATGGAGCCTCCAAACCTCCTGCCTGGCCTGAGGACGAGGGGAGGAAGCTGCTCACTGAGGGAGGTGGCAGAGACGGGCCTCGGGCCATACTGCCTCCCAGGGTCTCGGGTCCCTGAGGGGAGCGGCCTTCCTTCACGGGCCTTTGAAGACCCTTGGGAAACCCTGGCACTGCCTCCACAGGAGCTGAGTTACCATCTGTGGCAGTGACTGAGACAGTCCTCGTCTTCCACTCACACCTGCAGATCTTTCCCACAGCTTTCCGGAACAAGAGTCGGCCCTGATTGCAGAGCCCTCGGTGGGCACTCGCGGGGGCAGGGTGGTCGCTGTGGCAGTGTTGTGCCCGCTGTGACTTGGCTGCCTGGCCTCCATGTGTGCTTCTGTGATCAGTGACAGGAAAGACGAGTTTGTAAACCTGGCACTTACTTTGTCCACGTTGTTTAGCCCCTGGAGGGCACAGGAAATCACCGAGAGACCAGCTGAAGTTTGTTGCATTCTCTGTATCCCAGTCAGTCTGGGCTTTGGGGCCGTTTATGGTACTTTTAACACAGTGAAACCATGAGTTGTCATAGAGTAATTATTTGCATTTAACGATTGCTGTTCATTCAGTCCTTGCAGTAGCTCTAGTAACTTGCTGAAGGCCCCATAGTATGTTTTTGTCTTTGGTACTGGGGAGTGAACTCGGGGCCTCTGTACTGAGCTACATCTCCAGCTCTTTTAATTAGTTTAGGTTTTTTTTTCTTGGTACCAGGGATCGAACTCAGGATCTTGTACTTGTGAGCCAGGCATGGCTCCACTGAGCTAAATCCCCGGCCCTAATTAGTTTAGTTTTTGAGATAGGGTCTTGCTAGCTTCCCAGAATGGAGGACAGCAGCTGTGCAATAACAGGCCTGGCAGTGGTGATCCACTTTAATTCTGGATTTTAATTTTGGGTTTTTGAGACAGGGTCTCACCAGGAAGTTCAGGGTAGCCGTGAACCTGCAGCCTCCTGCCTCAGCCTCCTGAGTGCTGGAATTATAGCCATGTGCTATCATACCCATCTGTTAGTTTTCTAAGCTTTATTTCCTTGTACCTACTTGTTTATAATGAAGGGAACATCATAAGTATCGACTAAAATAAGTTTACTAAATATCCCCCTTTTCCTTTCTATTTCATTGTTTGATCATTTGTTATAAAAATGTTTAAACTTGTTGAATCTGGCAGATCATAGCAATTTACTTGGCATAAATAAAAAAAGATGCTCTCATAATGAGAAAAATAAATGAACTATAAAACTAAACCGAGATGTATTTTACCACGCAGTCGGGCAGAAATCCACAGGTGGATGGAGAGCCCAGCCACGGACGCGCCGTGAGCCCCGGTGCCGCGGTGCCCGGGACCGCCCCTCGGGCCTGGCACACCCCACTGCTCCCTCTTCCCCTTCCTCCAGGTCCTCTTCTCGGGAGACTCAAGTCCAGGCTTTACCAAGGCAGGGTCTTGCTTTCCCTTCGCATAAAATTCTTCAGTGTTTGTTGCGTAACTGTGACAGCGTGGTGGAGGGAGGAAGGTAGGCATGTAGGTCGCCATCTGCCGGTGGAGGATGGGCTGTCAGTATTGTAAAACGTGCGCCCTTTGGCCTGGCAGCGGGACTTCGTCTGCCAGTTGCAACTGCATCTTCAAGATGGCTCTGCAGTTTTTTAAAACCGTTTTTACGTGATTGCATGTGGTTGGAAACAGCAGATGTGACCGTCAGTGGGAGTTTTCGTGCACCACCCGGGACATCATGCGGTAGAGGGGCTCCCTGCAGAGGTGAACAGGCACCGGGAAGCTGGCTGTTGTGGCGGCTCCAGGGCTGCAGGGCCATCACCAGAGCTGCAGCAGCGTGCAGAGTGCCGCTGTTTCTGTTAGGAAACCAGAGGGAGCCAGTGTATGTGCTCACCCATGAAGAACTTCCGGACCAAGGGTGCTCGAGGTGGCCCCGCAGTGGGCAAGGGGCAGATTGGCTTCTGATGTTTGGATTTTCTTCACTTCGTGAGCCAAGTGAAAGTCTTTCTTGTTCAGCAAATCAAACTAAAGGGTAAAACTTGGAGTGGTAGGTGCTCTGTAGGTATAAGGGACATTTAAACACTTGCCTATGCCAATAAATAACTTATTTCAGGGATATAAATCATTTTGTAAAGTGAGTCTAGTAGTTGAATAGTTACTTTTGTGTATTTGTTTTATGCTGTTCTTTATGATTCCATAAGTGACATGGGTGCTGCACGTTGCTCTGTGTGTGTGTGTATACATATTATTGTTTTCTCTTGTTGTTTTGTTGTTGTTGTGAATAATCATCTCATCCTGTTCCCTTTCTTTTTCAGTCCTGATGATATTGGGACCTGCTGGTATATCTTGCTGTCTGGTTCCGTGTTCATTAAGGAATCCATGTTCCTTCCAAGAAGCAGGTATTGTATAGACATTCTGTAATGACCCATGAAGCCTGACATTCTTTTGCAGAATTGAATCCTTTTGCAGAATTATTGTGCTGATACAAAGCAACACAGTCCTTTGGAGCTGTTATACATAAATCTTCAAGAAATGCCCGTGTTAATTGTAAACACGGTTTCAGTCTCTTTAACAAAGGACAGGGACAAAAATCATGCCGGTGACACGTTAATTTATTACATGACCACATCAGCTGTGTTTTAGGGCACATTCGATTGTTCCCAGGGTGGCTTAGGTAGAGAAGAACTAACGGTCAGAGAGCATAGGAGGCAGTCTCACAGACATCCGAAAAGAGGCAGCGAGAGTCCCAGCCCCTCTGGGATGGGGAGGAAGCAGGTGCTGCCTGCCCCTCTCTCTGGTGGGGACCAAATGGCTGCTCACGTGGTGTCTGCCTGTCGGGGGGCGGCTTCCCACCCTCTCTCCGTGTGACTTGGGCTTGTGTGTGCCGACTTGATTTATGGCCCTGTGCCTGCAGTGCTTGTGTCTTTTGCTGAATTCTTCCGGGTACAGTCTGACCGGCCCAGCACATGTGGGTTCTGATTGCCCCGGCCGGAAGGTGTCTGGGGTCTTCTGCTAAACATGACCAGCTTTGTTCGGTGTGGTCCTGAGTCTTGATGCTCATCTTCTCCTCCTCATTTTGTGTTTCTTACAAATAGCTATTTTTATTTGGACTAAAGGTTTTTACCTAAGCATTTTTATTTTTTGCTATTAATTATGTAAATTGAATAAATTCACAAAAATATAGCTATCCCTTCTGTTGCCTAGCTCCTATAAAAGTATTCTAGTGTATTCTGGATAAGGAGTTCTGAGTGGATTAGAGTCATGTTAAGGATCTATTTTTAAGATGTGAGCAGCTTTTATAAATAGTGTCAGTGAGACAGGGAGGAGTAGTTTTACACTGTGGACAGGACTGGCCTGGGTGTGGCAGCAGAGGGGCTTGGATGGGCTTTGGGGTCCAGAATGGTGATGCAAGCCTGTCGGAGCAGTATCACTTTGAACTGAGCCTCAGCGCTGGTGCAGTTCGCCTGCCTTTTTGCTCTGCGCGTCTCTAAGGTCAGATTGGCGAGCCTTCTCCTCTTTGGAAAATGGTCCGGCGCCGGAGGGACTCTCATTTCCTGTGTGTCCTTCTCAGCTGTAGCGGTGGTCCTAATGGCAAGAGCTGTATTGCTAATGGTGATATAATAGTAATAGTAGAGGTAGCAGTAGTTGTAACAGTAACAGTGTAACAAAATGAGGGTAGCACAACAGCTTTTAGGGTGCTTCCAGGTTGCCAGGCACCATTTTAAATAGTTGTCTTGTGTATGTAAATCATTTTAACCCACCATTCTCCCTTGGGGTAGGTGGAAGTGTTAGCTGCCTTTCATAGTTAAAGACACTTGCGTTGCATAGGGCGTTTACACCTGAAGTTTGCCCAAAAAGCCTGTTCTGACCTGTGGAGCAGCCCCCATAACGCTGGGAGGGAGCCCTGGCTCCCAGAGGGTGGCGAGTTAGACACTCTCCTGTCCTCCAGGCACGGCTTGTTAGTTTGGCCCTTGGGGGTTCTGTCCGAGGCTGTATTTCTGAACTTGGAAGGTACAGGCAAACAGTATTTAAGCATTGGAATTATATGTAATTTTGGTATATAAAGTAATCATTAGTGTATAAATTTTCAAAGATAAAGAAGGAAAAGCATCAGCTGAAGTCCTCCCATTCAGAGATGATTGATTTTTAATGTGCGAGTGGTTTTTTCCTCCAGCGTCCTTTCTGCCTGTGGTCTCAGCGTAAAATCATATGCTTTATGTACAACTCACTGTCCTGCTTCGGTTAAAGATATGTGCACACACGCACACTGCCTCCTCACAGAGTGACGCCCTTACAACGGACTGTCTTTACAACTTCTCGTGCCCATCTAATGACAGTTATTTGAACTTTCTGCGATGAATAAATGATAACAGGTACTTGTAACATTTTACTATGAATTGTGCTGTGGTGAGTATGACTTGGAATTTACACACTGTAAGGAGAACCCCAGTCAGTGGCTTCATTGTTGTCTCCGTGCAGTGTCTGCAGCAGAAGCCGAATCCAGAATGAAGCTTCCGCCCAGCAGGCGTGGTGGCTGCTCTGCCAGCCGTCCACTAATCAGCGACAGCTTGTCATGACTTTGCCTGGAGAACCTCATGTTCAGAAGACTGCTGTTCTGCAGAGGGACTTGCAGTTCAGACCCGTTTCATGAGCATGTGGACTCCGTGTCTGATTATTCTAAAAGATGACACAGGTCACTCTTTGGCAGGCTGGCTGGCGAGTGCTGGCGAGTGGTGCTCTATTGGGATGGAGGAGGGGTGGCTTTCGGGCTGAGGACAGGCGGCCTGGTTATAGGCTGTGCCTTCATGTTGGACGAGGTGACATTGGTGCTGCCCAGTTGTTTTGTTTCCTTTGGGGGTGTTGCCCTAGGAATAGTTCTGAGATTGTTTTAATGAGAAAGAATCAGCCTGCTGGCTTCATGCTAAAAGTTGACTTTCGTAATTCGTAGGTACTTCTCTTTCCAGAAGATACTGAGTTTTGGTATAGATGACATGGTACTATCAGCTCATTGCTGCTGAGACTGGTCTCGGCTTGAGACTGGGTCTGGCTGTGTATTCCAGGCTGGCCCGGAACCCACTACATATCCTAGGGTGTCCTCGAACTCGAGGTGACCCTCCTGTTTCAGCCTCCCAAGTGCTGGGATTATAGGTGTGCACTACTGTGCTTGGCTGTCAGCCCAGTTTTATTAAAAAAACTGGTTCACAGATGTTTTTCCACAGCTACCATGTTTTTAATCACACAAGCCTGGAAGTTGGTTACAGACTATGAAATGAGTAAACCGAGAATTCTCTTCAGCAGTGCAGCCCATTTTCTCGTAGGGTTAGTTCACCTTGAGTAGTTAGTTTCTGTCACAGTATCTTCAGTGTTTTCATGTTTTTAGCAAATTTTCAAGGAATTGATACCTGATTTCATCAGATAAGAAGGATGATATGTATTGCAGAAAATCTCATTTGGCTTCCAGATTCATTAGCTTTATTGAAGTTCTCAGTTAACATTTAAGATAGCATTTTATGTTTTTCTTTTTTTTTTCACTTTTGTTGTCTTTCTAGATAGATGAGGGTTGCCTTGGTGGTACACCTTTACTTGGGTTGCACAAACGCGAATATAGTTCCTGATAAGATTTGCAACATTTATAGAGCCTGTGAGATCTCCTGTGACTACCAGCGAATGACAGTTTACTCTTCCCTACTTGAAAGAGTTTTAGTGATATAAATGTTGTTTTCATGAGTTCTGTTATAAATCTATTAGAAATTTGTCAAGTTTTTAACCATTGACATTTGTACAAGTAGCTGTAATGTGTGCAAGGTGTGATAGAAAATACAGTGAATGTAAAAATTCATTACAGAAAAATACACATTGCCATTAATTCTGCTCAAAATACTTGCTTTGAACACAGTTTATCCCAGTTTTCTGTTTTTTCCCATTGTTCTTTGCATTGTCTTTTGGTGTAGTAAGTTTTTAAAATTTGAATGTTCATCATGTAGTTTGATCACTCCTTGTATTTTATGTTATTATGTATAATATTGCCCTGAGAGTTAAAATCATATTTAAGAGACCAATTTGTATTCTTGAAGCAGGGAATAATTTATATATAGTAGTTTAAACAATTCTTATTTAAAATCACTTGAGTTTGTGCCCACAGAAGGATAGTGAGCAGATAATTTGGAAGCGCGGTGTGTGGGCTGAGGATGCGTTCCCCTCAGGTGCACACAGGATGGTATGAGCCATGTGGGAAGGGTCCAGCCAGCAGCACAGCGAGGGCACCGCGCCATGCGACGTGTGGCCCTGGGCAGTGGAGGCTGACGTATTAAGACAGTTGACGGAGAGTGGTAAAGCGCGGAAGGAGTGTTTCTGAAGACACCACTTGCAGCAGCAGTGGGGTAGGAAGCTACAGAAGGAAGTTTAGAAGTGGACATTTAAAAATGATTTTCTGATGTGCACCTTGGGTCTGTGTTTCATACTATGCAGGAAAACATTACTAATGTTTACGGTCCCTACATGCCCACATCAGTGGATTCAAAGAACTGACCCATACTTTTGCAATTAGAATATATATTTTAAAGAATTCGAATGTTTAAGGAAACAGAGTCGATTGTTGTACATTTATACATACATAGAACTGTCACTCTGAACTCCATAAATATATAATGTCAATAAAAGGAGACATTGTTATATACTTTAAACATTCTTCTATAGTGTCCTCACTATGAATTCTGAAGCCTTATTTTATATTACAGTATAATTTGAGTTAATGTTAATTTTTGGCTGCTGACTTTGAAAGATTGAGAATTCTAATTATAATAAAGATTGGCTCAGAATATGTTTCTAGACTTGCAGTTTGGATTATTTGTTAGAGTAGGAGATAGTTTACTCAGGTGTGATTTTAGTTCATTGAGTTGGAGTCTTTTAGGGCTGGGGATTTAGCTCAGTGGTTCTGTCGCCTGCTTTGCAAGCTCAAGGTCCTGAGTTCGATCCTTAGTACCAAAAAAAAAAAAAGAGTTGGAGTCTTTTTCTGTACATTTACCAGTCACTTAAAAATCTATTTACAAAAAACAACACACAGAAACACCAGCATAGTTTGCTAGATATGTAAGACACAGCCATTATAGTTATATAGACAGACAGATCCTTCTTTGAAGCTATGTTCATCACAATCTTGGAAAAAACCCCACTTTTACTAACATATTGAGTGTGATTTTCTTTTTTTTTTTTTTTTTTTTTTTGGTACTGGGGATCAAACTCAGGATCTTGTGCTTGTGAGGCAGGTGGCGGCACCACTGAGCTAAATCCCTGCCCTTGAGTGTGATTTTCTTAATAGAATCAATTTTATCATAGAGCTCTCCAAGGAAGATTTCTGTAACAGAAATGATTGTGCATATCATAGTCGTAGGTAACACCT